GTCATAACGTGATAGCGAAAGGTTTCTGTGGCATCCCGAACCATTACTGGTGCGAGAAGCATGTCAGAGAGCCGTACGAGGTCCCTGGCTGTAGCCGAATCGACGGTTTACCGCCAGCTGCCCGTAAACCGATGTTTTAAGTGTAGGAGTCGGGGTAGTCCTTCCCCTGGATCTGGGCTAGGGCGGCGCGAGGTGCCAGATGATTTTTGGGGGGAGGGGAGGGGAGGGGACGGGCCCCAGCTAGATAGATCGCTCCAAGATGGCCTCAGATAGCCCAACATTGCCTGGGCTCTGGATGGCTCAAGGATCTTCCAACGTGCCTCCCAATCTACCTGAAGGCCGCCCCAAGACGGCTCCAAGCGGCCCCCGCAGCACTTGGACCTACCTGGCCCCCCACTCCGCGGACGGACCCCCCCCAGGGTCGCCGGCGTGCGGCGACGTTTTTCAAGCCTCGGAGGGCGAGGCCTTCTTTGGGTCCGCGTGCCCCCCCCCCCCTGCTCCGCGGAGCTGCGTGACCCCCCCTCCCCCCTGCAGACGCGCGGCAGAGCGGCGGCAGCTGCGCGCCCGGCAGCGTCCAGGAGAGCAGCGGCGAGGGACGCACGAGGAGTGGAGGAGGGCGAGGCCGGAGGGGGGGGAGGAGGGAGGGAGCGGGAGAAGCAATGCTCGATTCGAGACGAGATCCGTCAAGAGGGCCATTCCCACGAGCTTTCCGAACGTGCACCCCTACGCCCCTGATGTTCCCTGAGCGCCCCCCAGCGCGTCAGAGACTGCAGCCTCTTGTTTACCCCACCATAAGCGTACAGTGTTCGCGATAGCCCGCCATTCCTGTCGCACTCCCACAGGCCACCTTCACTCACCTCCGACGCTTGCCTCTCCCCTGCCCTCCCGACCACCCTTCTGTGCCGCCTCCTGCTCCTCCCCAGCCTGCGCCGCCCCCGGCGCCGGTCACGCGATGACCGCTTCCTTCAAGGGTCGGCGGAATGGCGTCAGCACCTGGAGTTCCTTTTGGACTCCTGCGTTCCCCCAGTCGTCCTGACAACGCTTGGGGGAACCAGCATTCCATCACGGCCGAGCGAGGCTTACATCGATCATCGGCCACAGCTGCCTCCGAAAGAGCAGGGGGCGGCGGACTTTCGCCAGACGCGTCTTCGATACACCTTGGCAATGGCAACGCCACCGACGAGCAGCCCCAACGGGATTGCATCGGCTTCGTCAATTTTGTCTGCGGGCTGTGATTCCGCCCAATCGCTTGCATCAACCGTGCCGGTGTAAAGCAAGCGGAGCACGAAGCGACCCACGTTGGAGTCATGATCGCTCCAGTCCAGTGCCTTGGTGTCGACTGCTTTGCCATTTCTCAGCATACCCGAAATGGCTTCAGAATTTGCGCAGAGGATCAACGAGTGGGCCTTGAGTGAGCCATCTGACATCTTTATTTCCACGTCTTTCGACGCATCAGTGTTGAAGAGGCGCTCATATACAGAACATATATCGACACTCGCGGAGCAGTCCATGCCGCGTGGAAGCCGAATCGTGCAGCCGGTTTCGCTTGAACCAAGCCCTTCCAATGATGGCTTGAGCAACCTCACGCTCACAGACGGCACTGAACACAAGCCAAACACGAGGGGCACGACTATATAAGAACATGCCCAGACACAGACCCATGTTCGGCTCAATACCTCCTGCCCGCCCTGCAGCTCCTGCTCGTTGTCTAAATCAGTCTGCTCATCATGTTCCTGATTCTCCACCTGCTGCTACTCATGCTCATGCAGCTGCTGCTGCTGCTGCTGCTGCTGCCCCTCCTCCTCCTTCCATCTCTCTCTCGCTCTCGTTCTCTCTCTCTCTCTCTTTCTCTCTCTCTCTCTCTCCCTCTCTCTTCGAACTTCTAATAACGCACTGTCTCTAGTATAACGCGGCCCAGACCTCATAAACAATTCGATCTAGATCCCTCCAAACATCCCCGCGTCTCCTGCTCCATCATTTTTCCTACTCCCCCTCCTCGCCCCTCGAATCTCTTACACACCCCAGGAAGCAAGACGCCCTAGAGATCTGAGTGACCCCGTAGAGGTGCGGAGCAACAACCACTCCTTCCTCCTCCCTCAGCTTTCTCCCCCTCCTCTTCCTCCGCCCCCCTGCCCCTCCCCCCCCCTCCTCCTCGTCCTCCTCCTCCCCCTTCTCCCCCTCCTTCTCCTCCTCCTCCTCCTCCTCCTTCTCCTCCTCCCCTCTCCTCCCCCTCCTCTCTCATCCCCCTCCTCTCTCATCCTCCTATTCGGGAAGATGGCGAGGGGGTGGAGACAGGGGAGATGAGAGAGGAGGAAGAGTGGAGAATGAGGAGGACGATGAAGAGAAGGAGGGCGAGGAGGAGGAGGAGGAGGAGGAGGAGGAGGAGGAGGAGGAGGGAGGAGGGAGGAGGAGGAGGAGGAGGAGGAGGTGGAGAAGGATGATGATGATGATGATGATGATGATGATGATGATGATGATGATGATGATGATGATGATGATGATGATGATGATGATGATGATGATAATGATGATGAGGAGGAGGAGGAGGAGGAGGAGGAGGAGGTCCGGATCCATTTTTGATGGTCCCGAGGCCCGACAACCAGCGGCGCCCTCGAGGGCGCGAAGTGATCCGCGCTCCGCGGTTCGGCTCCGATTCCTCCTCGTTCTCCTCTTCTCCCTCGTGGGGCGGCGCGAGGGCGCGAAGCTGCACGCGCTTCGCGCAGCGCGAAGCGCAGAGTCGTGCGCCCTTGACGACTGGCCCCGGATGCCGAGCTTGAGAAGAAAGCGCCGGTTGAAAAAAGCGCAGATCGTCGCAGATGTGGGGCCCCTCCTCCTCCTCCTCCTCCTCCTCCTCATCCTCCTCCTCCTTCTCCACCTCCTCCTCCTCCTCCTCCTCCTCTGGGACTTGGCGGTTCTCGAGTATGCGTCGGGCGCCGCAGCCGTTCCACAGCGCTCCAGATCGCTCGATCGCTCTGAGAGCAGCCTGGAACGCTCAGGAACGACTTGTGCCAGTCCCTACCCTAACCAGCCTCAAACGTATCCCTATCCCTAAGATGGGCGAGCAAAAAGCGAGGACAATCATAGGGATAGGCCCTCAGAAACTGAGGGAACCCTTAAGATCGGCATTGAGGTGAGGTGACGTCAAACATAGGGATAGGGATATGCTCCAAACTGGCAATGCCCCGCTCGAAGAGCCCCGCAGGTTTTGAAGAATTCGTCGCTACAACGGGCCAGAGGCGTGCTGAAATCTCTGGCGAGAATCAGATAATGTTTTTAGTTCGCGCGCGCGTGGTGGCCCCTGGGGGTCCGCGAGCGAAACATGCCCCCGCAAGGTCCCGGCAGGGTCGGGCAAAGATGCCAGAACTGCTGGGCGCGGCCTCGGGTCCCCCCCGAGCGCCCCAACGACGCGCCAAAAGGTTGGCACGCCCGCCCCACGGCCTCAAGCCAGGAGCGATCCAAGATGGCCCACGTTGGCCCCAAGACGGCCCAAGAAGCACCCCATACGCTTCAGGAGGATTCCAAGAGGACTTCGAGGAGGAGCGCCTTTTCGAGCTGCCGACCGCCCTTGACGGCCCAAGAGGCTCGAAGATCGCTCGAATGCGGCACCCAAGACCCGCAACAGGCCCCCCAGGAAGCCCCAACAGGCTCCCGGGGAAGCCCCAAGAGCCCCCAAGAAGCATCCAGGAGGCTCCCCAGAGGCCTCAAAACTGCTCCCCAGAGCCCAGAGGCTCCCGAGAGCTCTCCGAAGAGACCCCAAGAAGCATCCAGGAGGACTCTGACCCACAAACCAGGTATGTCTCGGAACTCTCTTGAGCCATCTTGGCGCCCTCTGGGGCAGTCTATCGGCTCTTCGGCAGGGTGCGAACCACATCTCCAAAGATCTCCTCGAGGACAGTCATGCCTGCCCCCACCGTTCCCCATGGGTACGAGCACACCACCATGCAGCCACCGTGATGCGAAGTGGGCCGGCGGAATGAGCGAAGCGGTTAAAGAAAGCCAATCATCTCTCTGAAGGTCTGGATTGGCCGCTCGCCGCGGCGCCGATATAACTGCTGGCGCGCTCCCCGTGTTCTGTGCGTGGCGGCAGGGGCAAATTGAGGGGTCGCGACTGACGAACCAGACATGCGAAGACACACACACACACACACGGGGGGGCTGAAGCAGAAGAGGAACGGAAGCATGGAGAAGAGACCGAGGACGAAGAAAGCGTGATGGGCAAGGGAGAAGGAGGAGGAGGAGGAGGAGGAGGAGGAGGAGGAGGAGGAGGAGGAGGAGGAGGAGGAGGAGGGGGAGGAGGACAAGCTAGGTGCGCTCGCGTCATATCTGACATCCTACCCCTCCCTCCCATCCCTTACCATGGCGCAGATCCCCTCTCTAATCGCACAGTCGGATGTCGAGCAGCGCAATGGTCCCGAAAGGGTACGCGATGCGTTGTAGAGCACGGCATGGCATGGCGTAGAAGAGCACCGCAAAGCGTAGTATCAACCGAGCATTGCATTGCATGCCGTGGCAATGCACGGGAAATGACGCCAGCGCTGCAGCGGGAGCACGAGTCGAAACGAGCGGAAGCGCGGAAATGAGGCCAGGGCTGCAGCGGGAGCACGATTCGGAACGAGCGGGGCCCGAAAATGAGGCCGGCGCCTCAGCGAGAGCAGCATTTTGAACAAAAATGCAAGCGAAAACCTAACTCTGGGGAAACCTGTGTAAAAACACAATACGCGGGGGGGGGGGGTCGGACACTCCCAGGCCGTCATCAGGGGAAGAGGGAGAGTAGTATTCATATTGAGTAATTGTGGAGAGGAGGAGGAGGAGGAGGAGGAGGAGGAGGAGGAGGGAGGAGGGAGGGGAGGAGGGAGGAGGAGGAGGAGGAGGAGGAGGAGGAGGAGGAGGAGGAGGAGGAGGAGGAGGAGGAGGAGGAGGAGGAGGCCGAATGGAGACGGAACGAGACATGAGCGAGCGGACGGATGTAGACAAGCGGCGGGCCGATGAATCTCCGCCGCCTCGCAGGTCCGGAAGATCATCTGCTGGTTCGAGGAGTTCCGGACCCCCTCCAGGACCAGCACGAACCGCCCGGTCCGCCGCGCTATCACCTCGCGGGGACGCACGAACCCAGGCCAACGCAAACCCGGGCCGACCAGGACCCTGTCGCGAAGCCCGGCCGGCCGCTGAGTAGCTCCAGAGCCCAGACCAGCGGAGGGCGGCAAGGGGGGAATCGGCTCCACGTGGCTCCCAAGCCCAGGCCGGCAAGAGGGGACTGGCTGACCTCGTTGGCGCTGGCCCCCGTTACCCAAGCATGCGACGTCCTGATTGTTTCAATAATTACGGGATCCACGGGAGTCCAGACCCTTTCCCCGAGACCCGTTTTTCATCCCCAATCGTTCTTTGACGGCCCCAGCACCCGGTGTAAGGGCCCGGCCCCCGACGGCCCAAACCTGCCAAAAACCGCCCGCTCGAATTTCTTCAAGACGCGAGCCTGTCTGGGCAGGTGCGCCCCGATATCACCGCGTCCACCCTCGACGCAGAGACCCCGGCCACCCCCTCGGGGCTCTGCGACCGCGCGCGCTCGGGCGCGGGCGGCGCACCCCCGCGGCCCGCGTGGATCGTGGAGGCCAGGCCCCGCATCTCCGCCAGGCACCGGCGCTGGTGGGGCGACCAGCACCAGGGGCCGCCAAGCAGCTCGTCCAGCCACTCGGCGGCCCTCTCGCCGAAGGCGGCCGCCTCTGAGCATCGTCTGACCGATCGCTGCCCCCACTGGCGTGGCCTCGGCCCCACCAGCGCCGAGTTACCCGCCCAGGTGGGGAGGTATGCCTGGCCCTTTCGGCCCCGCGGGGCCCGTCCCCACCTCGGAGGGTCGGCTCTGTGAGACCGAGATGCCACGGCCCAGCGGGGACGGGGACCGGCCGGGTGCTGCCGAGCGCTGAGCCTCGTGGTCGCTCCCGTGGGGCTCCAGCAGCGCTGTGCGGCCGAAGCCCTGCACGGCCTCGAAGCAGGCGCCCTGCACCAGCGCCTCCAGCCGGCCCCTTCCCGCCGCCGCGTGCGCCTCCCAGGCGCCGCGCAGCGCCCGGACCAGCTCGGCCGCGGCGGGCCAGCACTCGCCCGCGCGCGCGAGGCGCGGCGCGATCTCCGCCGACACCGCGGCCGCGACCCGCTCCAGGGCGGCCGCGGCGGCCGCCTCTCGGCGGCTCCGAGATGGGGCCCTGAGGGATGGGGCTCTCAGGGCGAGGGGCACCAAGCGATGCGAACTCAGCCCAGGATCCCTTCCTATCCTCAGGGCCCCACCCGGATTCGAACAGGATGTCAGGGCCCTATGCTCAGGGCACCAATCTCCGGGCCTCGTCAGGGCCCTGTGCCTATCCTCCGGGCCCCATCCCTCCTCTGGGCCCCAATCGCAACTTCCAGGCGTGCGGCATGCATGTTACCTTCCAACATCGACGTTGCCCCAATCCTGATCCTCCTCCTCCTCCTCCTCCTCCTCCTCCTCCTCCTCCTCCTCCTCCTCCTCCTCCCCCCCCTCCCCGTATCCCCACTGCCGAGCCTCGGCGCCGCCCTCCGCGGCGTCGCCCGGCGCCGCGGGGGCCGCGGGCCGCAGCACGCAGGCCACCAGCCGCCGCCCGCCGCAGGCGGCAGCGCCCCCCTCGCCGGCGGCACCGCGCGCGGCGGGGCCGCGGTCGCCCGCCGCGAGGTCGCAGAGGACGTCCTCGCCCCGGGCCAGCGCCAGGCCCCGGGCCCTGGCCGCCCCGGCCTCGGCGCCGCCGAAGAAGACGTCCACGGCCTCCGCGGGCGGCCCCGCGAGCGGCACGCCCAGCGCCGCCGCGGCCGCGGCCGCCGCGCCGCTGGGCACGCTGCAGAAGCCGTACTGCCGCTTGGGGTCGAACCTGAGCTGGCCATCGCTCGGACGTCCATTCCCTGTGCTTTTTTGTCGGTTTCGTGCGTGGCTTTTCGCCAAATGATCAAGGATGCTCCTCGATGGTCCTCGCCGAAGGAAAACTGCACACGTCCGAGCGATGCCAAGTGAGGGGGGGCGTCACGGCCAAGAACTCCTGCACAGCGCGTCGCCCCGGCGGCCCCCTTGCGGCGTGCCCTGCAGGCGGACAGCGCGTCGCTCCGCTCCGCGGGGCGGGGGGGTCCGGAAGAGCTAGGGACGTCGAAGCCTGGGGAATGGGCAGTGGATCGCGTGTCGCGCCGAAGCGTGGTGCGGCGGAGCTGCACGCTATCCAGAAGTTCCCGACCGTATGGGGGGACCAGCCCAGGGGTGGAAGCATCGAGTTGGAATCGGCGATGCATCTCCGATGGATCGGCGACAGGCCCCCGACAGTCGGCCATGGATGGGCGATCGGGGGCCGACGCGCGCCCCTTTGAGCCTAGAGTCGAGTTCGATTGGACAGGACACGCGAGAGGACACAAGACCCTTCCGAGGGCCACATTGCCATAGCAATGTAGATGGCATTTGCCGCTAAACACTAGACGCAGGGATACCCTTGATTTGACAAGGTCGACCTGCTAATCAAACTCGACTGCATCCCCCCCTAACATTGCCCTGGGAACCACTTCACCCGGGCCCGCGTCCCCGCTGCTGCAGGCAATGCTGCGCTCTCGCACGCCAGATTGTCCATCGGCGCTCGCAACTGGCAGGGGGAGAGGAGAGGGAGGGAGGGAGGGGAGGGCAGGAGGGGGTGAAGGGTGAAAGAGAGCGGTGTCAATGTTCCCACCCGGCGGCCCAAGGAGGCGTGAACAAACGCGGTCAACAAAAATGAAAAAGAGGCCCCCGCGTTTTGAAAACGACTCGCTGTCCATCCGAGTGACCGCTTGGAACTTTCAATCGAATGTGAACGCCGCTGAAGCGACAATCACGCTTTGAACGCGACCTTCCCTCCATCCGCGTAGCCGTAATGACGTCTGGTGGTGTGACGAGAGGGAGCTGTTTATTAGGAGGAGGGATCGAGAGATTGAGCGGTGGGGGAGCAGGCGAATGAAGAATCTAGATCCACTCGGTTAGTGGAAGCATACGCGATGGTGCACATGATGCAACACGTTACTGTGCTCGGGAAGGCGTATGGTGCCTGCTTTTGGCGTCGGGCAGGCCTCTGGTGCCTGAGCCCTGATCGATTCGAAGAGGCCCATGGTGCCCTTTCATGCCCCCCCCCCCTTGCAAAGGGAAGGAGGGGAAGGAGGGGTCGGGGAGGGGAGGAGGGCAGAACAGGCAAGGAGGGAGGGAGGGACAGCAGCTTCAGAGGCAGGCGGGCGGGCAGCAAAAAAGGGGCGCCCCTGGAGCCGAAGCCTGGAGCGCGGCCGAAGCCGAGGCCGGCGGTGGCCCCTCTGCTGGAGGAGGAGCAACAGGAGCAACAGGAGGAGCAGAAGGGAAACGATGATGACGATGGGGATGACGATGGTGGTCGCGATGGTGATGACTTAGGAGGCCGAGCACGAAGAGGAGGAGGAGGAGGAGGAGGAGGAGGAGGAGGAGGAGGAGACACCTCGTGCGTCGGTCTGGGGCGAGCCTCAACGATGTGCCGCCGCCCAGAGGAAGGACCGGCCGTCATGGCGGTGGTGCCCAGCACACTCGTCCCAAGCGGGGAGGAGAAACAAGATGAGCGGGAAGAACACGATGAGCGGGGCCAGGGATTCACGGAATTCAGCGTGGCGGGAGTCGGAGTGCCAGCCCGGACCCTACCACTCGGCCCAGGCTCCTGGAAACTGCATCACAAGTTTAGGAGGGATGCCCCCGTGTAGCCTGTTCAGAATGTGATTCCCTGTCTGACTGGGCGCGGAGGGTAGCAATCAGCGAGCTTGATAACGGCCCACACACAAATCTCACATGAGGCGCAACACAGAACGCCTCGGTACACCAAGAGAATGTGCGAGGGGTCGCAAAAGATAGGCACGCTGATGCGATGGGCGGGGGAAGGGGGAGGAGTCACACAAAAGAGCAGGCGAAGGAGGAAAGGAAGCGGGGCGAGGAGAAGGAGGAAACCTGGAGGGGTGGTGGTCTGAGCGGAAGGCTCTTCTATATTAATGCGCGCCGATTCCGTCTACTACTCCGCCTTCTTCTTCTTCTCCTCCTCCTCCTTCTCCGCCGTGTGCTCTTCTTGTGGCGCCCGGGCTCATCTGCACACCGCAGTCACTGCTACGCTCCCCCGTGAGATGCTCCCTTTGTTACCCCTTCCCCTTCGAATGCATTTTCTGGCAAACGGACAAGTTATTCCTTCTCTATTGCCCCCCTCTCGGATCACGGGTGGGGAAGATTTGTTACCCGAGGGCCATCGCAATGTATGATGCTGGCCTTGCACCCTACTTACCCGCTGTATTTCAAAAAGGAACCATGTGGGAACTACTCTTCTCGTGCGATCCCCGTGAGGGCTGCGCCGAAACTGGCGGTCGGGCGCAAGCGAACTTCCTGCCTGGAGCTGTAGACCAGACGGATCTGCATGTATTTCGGCACGGCATCTGGCCCCGGACCCAGCCTCCTCACCTGGCCCTGGCCCTGGCCCCCCTCGCCCCGAACCCTTTTATTTTCTTTGTCGTCGTCCCCCTGGTCCTGGCCCTCGACCCAGCCTTCACCCTGGTCCTCGACCCAGACCCCCTCGTCGTCGCCACCCTGGTTCTGTCCTTGGACCCAGCGTCCTCCCCGAAATTCGGTGCACCCCCGAATTGGAGGAGGAGGAGGAGGAGGAGGAGGAGGAGAAGGAGGAGGAGGAGGAGGAGGAGGAGGAGGAGAAGGAGAAGGACCCCCTCGTCGTCGCCACCCTGGTTCTGTCCTTGGACCCAGCGCCCTCCCCTGCAGGAGCCGCGCGAGGGGTGCGCCGAGCGGGGCGAGGGGGCGCACGCGGGAGCCTTCGCCGGAGCTCGTCTCGGAGCCCCTCGCTGGGCGCGATCCGCGCGACGGGGGTTGCGACCATCGGCGGGTCCGCGTGCGCAGGCGTCCTGCCCAGACCCCCTCGCGTTGAGAAAAAGATCACTGAAGGGGCCCAGGGACACACAAATAAATACACACAAATAAAATGATTTCCCATATTTTCTCATATTTTCTGGATTTTTGTCTTCCCCCCCACTTCCCATACTTTCCCATATTTTCCTGGGACTCGACGATTAATTGTGTCTGTGTTTCTTTTCCTCCTGAATCACGGCGGGAGGCTTTTCGCCATCTTCGGCCTCTGGGGGCCATCGCCGGGCCTCGGGACCGTCCACAAAACGACTCAGGATGAAAGGCCGGTGCCGGGGACTGGGTCTGGACCTCTGGGGGTCGCGGCACGAAAAAATCATGACGTCGGGGGTCTGGGTAGCTGGAGTTGCGACTGGAACTCCCCGTGGGGCACGATGCGCGTGAGAGGTGTGCCGAAATGGGCGGGCGAGCGGGCGCATGTGGGCGCCCTCGCCGGAACAGCAGCTGGAATGAACAGGTGGGCGCATGCGGCCGTCTTCCCCATTTTGGCGGTGGTCCGGTCTGGCTTCGGTGAGGTCCTGGGGGGGGTCTGTCGTTTTGTTCGCCGAGGTTGCCTTCTTGGGGGGGTCTGGATCGTCTCGTCTTGGCACGTCCTGGGGGGGGCTTCTTTTTGATGGAGGTCGCCCCAGACGGGGGGGGGTCTAAAATGGCTCGTCTGGGAGGTTTGTGACCCCCCCCCTTTATTATAAAAGTTGGAGTGCCCGTTTCTTTCTCCCGATCGTGCCCCCTCAGCGAGCGACACGCCCGACCCGCTCAATTTACCGCCTGGACCGCCCCACAAACCGACCAGCCCGCCCGACACGTCCGTCAGGGTTTGCCCGCCCAACCCGCTCCTGACTCTCCATGCGCTCGCTTGGTTGGAAGCCAGCCCGGCACTTTGAATGTCCCAGCCCGATCGGTCTGGCAGGGTCCGCCCGGCCCGCCCGCGCGACCCGTCTGTCAGGACCCGCCCGCCCAACCCGCCCCGTTGGGTCCGCCCGCTCGCTTGCTGCCTGGGCCCGACACGTCCGTAGGACCCGCATGCCCGATCCGCATGCGGGTGCGCCCGACCCGGCCGCCCGACCCGCCAACTACTGTCCGTCCGCGCGACCAGACAGGGTCCGCCCGGCATGTGAGATGGGGTCCGCCCAGACCGCCCGCTCCGAGTCCGCCCGCCTGCCCCGCTGCTCGGGGTACCCCCGCTCGCTTGCTGGAAAGCTCGCCCGCCAAGTTTAATGTCTCGCTTACTCCAGATTTCGTAATAAAGCGAGGGGGGTCTCATTTCTGGGGGGGGGTCTCTTCCAGGCCATCTTGGAGGGCCTGGGGGGGTCTGGGGACGATGTCTTGGAGGGTTCTCCCACGGGGGGGGGTCTGAAATGGCTTGTCCTGGAGGGTCCAGACCCCCTCCCTTTTGTTACGACATCTGGAGTACCTGACCCGTCCGACTTGTCCTTCAAGGTCCGCCCGCATGGGTCCGCCCGCTCGCTTGGTTGCAAGTCCGTCCCTACTATCCTGCCAGCGAGACCCGCCTGGGCGGGGGGGGAGGGAGGGACGGAGCACGAGGAAGATTAGGGACGAGGAATCGGAGGATGGGGAGCAGCACCAGCGGCAATATGAGCAACTTTTTTCACAACGAAACGCCATCCCGGAGCAGAAGAAGAGTAACCCTATTTGTGTCATGCATGCACCAGGCTGGCCGCGGCTCTCCGCGTCTACACCGAATCCCGTGGTCAGGCCACCGCGCCGCAACGCGGGCGCGCTGCGCAGCCATCTATAAGAGGGGGGGGTGCGGGAGGGTGGGGGGACGAAGAGAGCGGATGCCGCGAGGAGCGAGGCGAGCGCACGCATCCGTCTGTCCTCAATGCGTTCGGAGACCAGCTGCGCGCCGCATAGAAGAGGGGACCATGCGCCGCGCGGTCGGTCCGAGTCTCAAGCGGGAGGCCACGAGACGTCGAATTAATGCGGTGGTGAGGTTCGCAAAGGACGGTGTAGTGAGAGCGCCCGCGGCTCGCGGCCCTGGACCCTGCGACGCGGCTGCCTGCCCGCGAGACGCGCTCCTCGGGAGAAGCTCCTGGGTCGTTCAGCTCCGCCTCCGCTGTGTGCCGAGTGCCGCGACGAGGCGGGAGAGGGAGAGAGTTTGAGAGCGGCCCGGCTTGGCTTCACCTGGCAGGCCCGGGCCAGGGTCGCCCTTCGGTCTGCTCGTCTGGCGACTTTCACGTGTACGGGAGCTTTTAGCTCAGGCTTGGGCTTCGCTCCAGCGTAGGCGTGAGCTCAGACTCGGAGGTATGCGAGGGCTTTGGCAGTCGCATCGGAGGAATCGAAACGAGCCCTGGACAAGGCGGAGATCGCCAGGTGCAGACAGATACCGCCGAAGGACTTGTGCTGGCCGCTCGCATGACCTTCTGGCGTAGGACGCCCGCAGCGAACTTCTGCACCGATATCGAGCTTGCAACTTTGGGCACCCGATCTGTGCACCCTACCACTCAATCTGCTTTGCACTTTGGCGGGTTCTGGAATCCCTGAACCCCCGAACATTGCCATCTCTCGTGGGACAGATTTTGTTTCCGCCAACTTCCGCGGACCTTCCGCCGGCGGAGGCGACCTCGTTCTACTACCGCCGCCTTCTGCCGAGGAAGAGAAGACAAACTCTCGATCCCTCGAAGGGGAGGCCATTGCTGGAACGCCCTATCTGGAACTGTGTGCAACATGGCAGTGCGGCTCCCAAAGGCAAGAATGGAGTTGTGAATGACGGAGGGGAAGTAATGCGCTGCGGATACTTATCGAATTCCATGCCTGGCGAATTCCACATGCCGTCCAAGGAAGATGACGGGTGCCACCATGTGCCATCGTAGAGCAGGACGGCCATGGCCTAAGCCCCAAAAAATAGGCAACACACAATGGGCTCCCCTCAATGCCGTCGCAAGGCGGCCTAATGTGCTCTTGGAAATCGCATTCAGGAAACTAGAATGTACACAGAGCAGGTCCCAATGACTACTGGCCCCTTCGGAGCTCCCCCTGCCTGGCAACAACTGAATGAGATGGTGTCACTTCATCAAGATGACGTTGGCATCGATCTCGACGATGTCCTCGATGGCAATGCCGGAGATGGTGTAGCCGGAGCAATCCCCATCCCACGTACACTTTCCATCCATGATGTTGTTGTCCTTCAGGGGGTGCGCTGCTCTCCTCCTCATCCTTCCCCTACTCATCCTTCTCCTCAACACCATCCCTCGTTCCTCGTCCCTCCTTCTCCCTCCGTCTCTCTCCTTCCTCCCCCTCTTCCTTCCTCGAGTGTAGGCCCTCGTCGCAGGGCGCCGGGGAGAGCTGCACGACTGGTCCACCTCCAGTGCGCTCGCTCTCGGTCGCGTGAGGGCATCGGGCTACTCTCGGGCCCCAGCCTAGGCCAGGGGCAGCAAGACTCGCGAACGATCGCACCTCCACGCGGGCACACGAGATCGAGCAGACCCACTGAGGACCCTGACCGCGAGGAGGACAGAGGCAGGGAGGGAGGGAGGGAGGAGAAGGAGGAGGAGGAGGAGGAGGAGAAGCAGGAGGAGGAGGGGGGAGGATGTGTGCCCCTCGCGCCGTGCTCCTCGCTACCTGCATCGTCGTCGTCGCCGTCGTCGTCGACCTCCTTCCCCCTCCCTGCTCCCCATCCTCCTGATCCTCCCCCCCTCCTCCTGCCTCCTCCTCCTCCTCCTCCTCCTCCTCCTCGTGTCTCCTCCTCCTCCTCCTCTCTCCCTCCTCCTCCTCCTCCTCCTCTCCTTCTCCTGCTGCCTCCCTCCTCCTCCCTCCTCCCTCCTCCCTCCTCCCTCCTCCCCCCTCCCTCCTCCCTCCTCCTTTCTCCCTCCTCCTCTTTCTCTTTCTCCTCCTCCTCCTCCTCTTCTTCCTCCTCCTCCTCTTCTTCCTCTTCCTCCTCCACCTCCTCCTCCCGCTGCTCCTCCCTCCCTTCCTCCTCCTCGGACTAGCGCGTAGCCGTGGAGGCCACGCGAGGCATGACAATCCAGTCGTGCGGCGGACATGGATCACGCCGAGGAGGATGAGGATGAGGAGGAGGAGGGGGAAGAGGAAGAGGATGAGTATTCGGAGGTCCCCGACAGGTTCCTGGAGGTATTTGGAGATTTGGAGGCATCCAGTGGGCCCCTGGAGGCCACTGAAGCTTCCAGAGGCCCAGGACAGAACGGCCCGAAGACAGCCAACACTTCAGAAAAGCCTCCGTTAACCCTTAGATCACCCCTTCTCACTGCTCCTGCTGTTTGTGCTGCCGATGTCAAACACCAATGTGAAGCGACAGCAAAGGACGCGCATTATCCAAGTGTTGGAAGAACGTGCTCACTCTATGGATTGTCAGAAGTCGTGAGCTGACGCAACGCAGACCACCGCCGCCCTCCTGCAATAACGAATGGAAAATGTTCGCACAACGCTCACGGAACAGCTCTCTTGCCACGCTGTGTGTTTGTAGTGTGTGTTGATCAGAGCAGAGGACACTCTGAGGGCATCTGCGCCCAGTCGGGGCGCTCGCGCACGGTCCAACTTTTGCTGCAATCTGCATGTTGCATTTCTTTGGACACGAATGGCGGAACTTCTCCTTCCTCCTTCGCCTTGTCTTTCTTCTCCTTCGCAGCCTCCTCATCCTCCTCCTTCTCCTCCCCATCCTCCCCCTTCGCACCTGTCTCCCTATCCTCCTCCTGATCCTCCTCCTGAACCTCATCCTGCTCATCCTGACTTTCCTCCTCCTCCGCCGCCGCCCCCTCCGCCTCCGCCCCTCCTCCTCCACCCTCCGCCACCCTCCTCCTCCTCCTCCTCCTCCTCCTCCTCCTCCTGCCGCTCCATCCCCCCCTCCCCGTCCTTCTCCTCCTCCTCCACCTCCTCCTCCCCCTCGTCCTCCTCCTCCTCCTCCTCCTCATCATCATCAGCATCATCATCACTAGCATCATCATCAGCATCATCATCAGCAGCATCATCATCAGCATCATCATCATCATCATCAACATCAGTATCAGCATTATCATACTCACCAATATCATCACTATCACCATCACCATCACCATCATCATCCTCATCATCATCGTCATCATCATCAGAAACATCACCATCATCATCAGCATCATCATCACCCTCAGCATCATCATCACAAGCATCAGCATCATCATCATCATCATCATCATCGCCATCGTCATCGTTGCCAGCATCATCATAATCAACAGCATCAACATCAACATCATCATACTCACCAACACCATCACCATCATCATCAACATCATCATCAACATCACCATCATCATCATCATCATCATCATCATCTTCATCATCTTCATCATCATCACCGTCAACATCAACCTCACCATCATCATCAGCATCAACATCAGCATCAGCATCACCGTCATCATCATCATCATCGTCGTCATCATCATCAGCAGCATCATCATCATCATCATCGTCATCATCATCACCACCACCACCATCATCATCATCATCAAAATCATCATCATCATCAGCAGCAGCATCATCATCATCATCATCATCACCATCACCATCACCATCACCATCACCATCACCACCACCACCATCACCATCACCATCACCATCACCATCACCATCATCATCATCATCATCATCATCATCATCATCATCATCATCATCATCATCATCATCATCATCATCATCATCATCATCATCATCCCCCCTCCTCCTCTTCCTCCTCCTCCTCCTCCTCCTCCTCCTCCTCCTCCTCCTCCCTCACCATCCTCCTGCTCCTCCTCCTATTTCACCCCCTCCTCCCTCCGTCGAGGCCGACAGAGGCCCCAGTGTTGCGGCGCGCTCCCACCTGCCCCGCGCCTGGTCGGGCCCTGCCGGCCCTGGGCACAGGGCGCAGAGGGCCAGCAGTGCGGCCCTGGTCGCGGCCAGGGGAGCTCCTGTCCACCACGCGCCGCGAGGATGGACGCTCTTCCACTCGCCTCGGCGCGCTGTTCCGCCTCGCCGTAGCGAGCACGCCGGACTTCCGAGGCTGGGGTCGGGAGCTCTGGAGGACTGCAGCCAAGACGCTGAGATCAGGACCGTTTTGGACTCGGGGCAAGGCTCTCATTTTCGGGCCGATCCTGAGATCGAGATCGTGGGACCTCTTCGTGGTAGGGTCTCGCCGTTGCCAGAAAAAGCCCCCTCCGTCCCTTATTCGGTCGGCGTTCCTTGTGGTAGCACGGTGGCTGGAGGGTCGTAAGCGCAATCGCAGCCTCCCGAGGTCTGGAAGGCTGACCTCACCAGAATGCGGGGCCGGCTTTGTGACAGGAGCCGGGGCAGGCGCCATGCCAACCCTGCGCGTGTGGCTCCATGCGTGCACGCGTGCATGTGCGTCGGGTCCTGGGGGCCCAGGAAAGGAAGACACAGCATGCTACGGCTCCTGGAAAGTAGGCGGAAAATGATGTCTTGATGCGATCGGCTCCCGATGAGTCCAGAACATTTTGCAGCGTCTAGCGGCCCTTGTGGAGCATTCGGGCATCTGGGAAGTCCGGTGAGTTTTAGAACGTATTGCTATCATGACATCTTGCGCCCCTGGAAAAAAGCGAGAAGAACAAGTCGGGAAAGAGAGAGAGAGGTCTTCTTCCTCCTGCCATGCGTGTACCGCGAGACTTGGGGCTGGCCCCAGGAGACGCAGAAGAGACGCTGGGGCCGGCAAGAGGCGGGAAAGTCTCTTGACCATCGGCACTGCCGCTCTTCGGGTCAGACTTAGCCTGCTGTTCACGCCTGCAGATCCGGGCCTTGCAGCAGAGTCGCGACGGCCGGCTGTCCCGTGCTTTCGGCCTCCGGAGGCCGCCTCCCGGGCCCGGGACCGTCAACAAACGTCCGAGGATGATCAGCTGGTCCCCGGGAAGGGGTCGGGAGGTCTCAGAATCGAATCGACAAGTCGAATCGGCGATCGAAATTCATCGGATCGGCAGAAATCGGCAGCCAAGTCGGGAGGAGTCGAATCGGCAGAAATCGGCAGAGTAGTATACCTCCAGTGAGACATCGGAACCCACATCCGAATCCCAAGTCGAATGGAATCGGAATCGGAAGCCATCGAAGTCGAATCGAATCGAATCGGAGGAATCGAGACGAGCCCGGGAAGGGGTCGGGAGGTCTGAGGGCCCACGTCAGAAAACGACTGCGGCGTCGCAGGAGAGGGGGCTGGGCTTGCTGCACGTCTGGCGGGGCACTGCCGGTCGGGCGTGCCAGGGCCTTCGCGCGCACTGCTGCAGATCGCTTCGCGCCGCCTCTCGCCGCGCTCGCCCCGCGCTCTGTCGGCTCTGCTCTGTCCTCGGCTCCTCCTCCTCCGTCTCCTGCCTCCTCCTCCCCCGGGGCCCCCTCCCCAAAGGTGGGCTGGGCGTACTCGTGTTGATCCCGGTGTCCCCGTGCTCCGAGGCCGCACCGTCGAGCCAGCGCATGCCCCCGGACCACAGGGAGCTCAGCATCGTGACGCCCTCGTTCATGCGCGCCTCGACCTTGTCCATGCCGTTCTCCACCTGAGGATGACGGGTGGGGGCTACCTCCTCCTCCTCCTCCTCCTCCTCCTCCTCCTCCTCCTCCTCCTCCTCTTCCTCCTCCTCCTCCTCCTCCTCCTCCTCCTCCTCCTCCTCTGGTAATGTGCCCCAGCCACGGCTTCCTCGCGTCGGCTTTCGCTCCATTTCTGTGCATCAGAACTATCACGAACCTCTGCTGACCATGGTGCCAGCAACGTGCACGAAACAAACCCGGGGTCACGCGAGGGCCAACATGTAATGGGCAAGACACTTCTTGTAGCAAGAAGCTGGCATGGCTGTCCAGCAAACGTGGCCTCAACTCTGGCCCCTGATTCAGGCTCGAAGATCGGTATTGCGGGCTTGCGCAATCCTCGTTGACGTTACCGTCAAAACGTCCGCGGATCAAGAAGTAAACTTGCACTCCCCTGAAAACAGGGAGGAGGAGGAGGAGGAGGAGGAAGAGGAGGAGGGGCAGGACGAGGAGGAGGTGGAGGAGGAGGACGAGGAGCAGGAGGAGGAGGAGAAGGAACAGGAGGAGGAGGAAAAGGAGAATGAGGAGGAAGAGGAGGAGGAGGAGGAGGAGGAGGAGGAGGAAGAGGAAGAAGAGCGCGCCCTGGAAGATTTCGCGATCGGGCAGTGACCTCCACCGTCGACGCTGCCTGCAGCTGCCTGAGCTGCGTCAGCCGAGGGCAAGCAGAGAGTAGGAACAGGCTCGGAGGTGTGAAAACTGGCAGACGGGGACGGGGGATGGCTGAGACCATCACTCTGCCCCTTGGCAGAGAAGGCCAGACGGGGAGACTGTGGCAACCCCTTGCGAGCCGCAGCCCTGCCCGTTGAAACCTGGGCGCGCGCCGGCTCCGTTTGCTCCTCCTCTGCTCCGATGGTTCCACCTTCCCTCTGCACATCAATGCCCCCGTCTCCATCAAGGCTACAGCTCTCATAATTAGGTCAGCGGCCTTCCAGTGCGGAGTGCCCTGATAGCGGCGGGAGCACGGGCACAAGGTGCACGGCGCCTTCTTCCACCTCAAGCCACTGATGACCCTCGTCCTCCTCCTCCTCATCCCCCTCATCCCCCCTCTCCAGTCAGTGCGACCTCGGGCCACTAGAACAAAAGACGACACAAACATGCACTTTCGGAGCTCCTCGCAGCGCTGGAACCCTCTCCCTGGCGCGCGGAGCGCGCCAGAGGCGGCGCTGGAGGCGCCGCCTGGGGGGGGGGCCCAGCGCAGACACAAGAAATCCGCTCGGAGCTCTGACAGTTTGTGTGCACACCGTCTTTCGCTCGTCGAGCCACGGACCACGGGGTCCACAACAGACCGCCGCGTGGAAAAGCAGGCGCCCGGTACCCCTCGGTGCCGGCGCCTTGGACGGTGGCAGCCGGGCGACGCAGCGCGGAGGCGCCCGGGGCGCTGCGCGGGCGCCTCCGCGACAGTGCGACGCGCAGAGCCTTCTGGATTCATTGCATCAGCCTCCACATCCCCGTCCCGTCCCATAGGCCGACCCCGCCCCGTCCATTCCGCGAGGCGGAAGTCGTGCGACGCGACGGGCCCGGAGCTCCCTCAGAAATTCGCCTGCAGCTCGCCGCCCTGCGGCGCGGGCATGGCGGCGCCGTCCAGGTGGGCCATCTGCCCCACCGGCATGTGCGCACCGCCCACCCCTGACATCTGGATCTGGGGGGCCATCTGCATCGGCATCGCCATGTTGCCCACGGGCTGAGGCTGCGGATACATTTGCTGGACCATGCACTGCTGCTGCACCTGCATCTGCTGCTCCTGGGCGCGTGCTCTGTGCTCCGCTCGCTTCTCCATCCTCGCGAGCTTCTTGTTCATCTTGGCCTCCGCCTCGTCGTAGCTCATGACTGCCGGGTAGATGATCCATCCGTACACGCCCGAGGCCACGATGAGCATGATGGAGCCGTAGAGATGCAGAAAATACGCCGTTCCGGCGTGTGAGTTTCAAGAAGCTCAAGCTACAGCTCCTTGCCATCGCTCGGACGTCCACTCGCTGTGCTTTTTTTCGGTTTCGTGCGTGGTGTTTTCGCCAAATGATCAAGGATGCTCCTCGATGGTCCTCGCCGAAGAAAAAATTGCACACGTCCGAGCGATGGCAAGGCTCAGGCTTCAACCTAGAGCAAGAGCTTCAGCTCAGCTGGGGGGGGTGCCGGGGTGGCTCTGTCTGCCGGGGAATGGGGGTTGTGGGGGGGGGGGGGGGGGGCGCCAAGGGGGGGTGCGCCAGTTCTCCGGTTCCAGTTCTCCAGCCGCCAGTTCTCCGGGGGGGGGGGCTGGAACACATTAAAGTCCCTTCTTCCTCTTCTTCCCCTTCGGGGAGGGGTTATCACTCCTTCTTGATATACACCCCCTCCCCCAGTCGACCGGGGGCCAACCCGACCCCATGCCGACACCATGCCCACCCGCCCCCACCATCCCTGTCAACAAAACAATACAAACCGCACTCTGTCTCCATATTTGGAGCATGCGCGGCCAACCCGATGCGGCCCTGCCCCCACCATCCCTGTCAAAAAACAATGCAACATATACTTTGGGGCAAAGTCTTGAGTCATGTTCGTGAGGCCCGCGAACACTTTGTATTGTTATTGTCAAGGACGGCGGGGGTGTCAGCATATTCCCTGCTGTGCGCAGGGCTACCTTCCCTGACGCAAACAAAAAAAACAAAACAACATGCACCTCGCAGCTAAATCTGGATCATGCGCGGCCATCCCGCGATCAATGTCAAATGGTTTTTGACAGGAACGGCGGGGGGGGCGGCGCGTGGCCTGCTGTGCGCAGGACCACCAGACACAATGATGGGCATCGGTTTTCGACAAGGATGGCGGGGGCCGACATGTTTCCCGATGTGTGCTGTCACGTGCGCAGGCGCACCTGACGCACTCTGCACGTGCCCCGAACGCGGCGCACCTGGCGCGGCTGGAGTGTGCGGCGCAGCTGGCGCACTCGGAGCACGTGGCGCATCTCGCGCACCAAGCGTGCCTGGCACGCTCGGCCCGCAGGGGTGCCTGGCGCGTGTGGCGCGCCTGGCACGCGTGGCGAACCTCGCCCACGCGCCGCGCACCTGGGGTCGGCTTTGGTTCCCAGTAGCTGCCCATCCAAAGACGACAGCTGAACATGCACAGGCTCGGGTGTTACTTATGTGTAAGGAGGGCGGGTGGGAGTGAGCTAGACGGCTTGCGGGCGGGTGGGTAGCTTGACCCCTCCCCCTACCCCCTCTCCCTGGGCCTGGAGGGGGCGTTTCGCGGGTCGTTGGAGCGTCCTTATTCGACCCATGGGAGGTCTCAAATTTGACACCCCGCACGAGGATCGTGGCACCGACGGGGGGACGCACATTGGCCCCTACCCTTCTTCTTTTATCAGGTGTTTTCCAAGAACGCCTCCAGAGACGTCTCCGACTCCCCGAAAGAGCCCCAAGAGTTCTCCAAGATGGCCCAAGAGAGCCCCAAAACGGGTTCGAGAGAGCTCCAAGACGGGCCCCAGAGAGGCCCAAGACGAACCAAAGAGGACGCCGAGAGGTCAAAACCCTTCAAAAGCAAAGGGAAAATCAATGTTGTTGGCCTTCTCGCCTTTTCGCTTCCGATGGGCTCTTTGAAAAGTCATAATGACTCCAAGATGGCTCCTGTGAGCTCCAAGACCCGAGAGAGCCCCAAGACGGGCCCAAGAGGGCCCCGAGAGGCCCAAACCCTTCAAAAACTAAAACAAAGAAGTAATGGTTGTGATCTTCTCGCCTTTTCGCTTCCAATGGGCTCTTGAAGCCTTAAGATGGGCCCCAGATGGCCCCAAGATCGCCCCAATACAGGCCCAAGAGAGGCCTAAGACGGAGCCAAGAGGGCCCCGAGAGGCCAAAATCCTTTGAAACGCCCAGGGCGCATCAATATGTTTGGCTTGCTCGAGTTGTTGCTCCCCATCGGCTCTCCAGGTCTCCAGATGGCTCCAAGATGGCGCCGGAGAGTCCCAAGACGAGCCCAAGAGATGTCCAAGACGGGCCCAAGAGGGCCCCGAGAGGTAAAACATGAGATAAACCAAAGGGAAGTTCATGTTTTTGGCCTTCTCGCCTTTTTGCTCCCGATGCCGATGGGCTCTTGAAGCCTCAAGATGGATGGCCCCAATATGGCCCAAGAGAGCCCCAAGACGGGCCCAAGAGAGGCCCAAGACGGGCCCAAGGGCGCCCAAGAGGGTCCCAAGAGCGAGATGGAGGAGGAGACGAAGGAGGAGGAGGAGACGAAGGAGGAGGAGGAGGAGGAGGAGGGAGGAGGAGGGGAGAGATGAGAGAGGAGGAGAAGAGAAGGAGAGGAGGAGGAGGAGGAGGAGGAGGAGGGGGAGGAGGAGGAGGAGGGGGAGGAGGAGGAGGAGGAAAAGGAGGAGGAGGCCTCCCTCCTGGGAACCTCTTGAGGCCTCTTAGGGATAATTCTGGAGCCTCTTTGGGTCCTTTGCGGCGTCTTTGCGGCCTTTTGAGCCAGGTGGAGCTTGTTGGATTCCTCTTGGGGGCCCCATGGACGTCTCGGGGCGGGAGGCTACAAGGCTTCTGCTCGGACCCATGTGAGATCGTCTTAGGGCCCTCTGAAGCCGTCTTGGGCGCGCCTTGGGCCGCCCCAAGAGGCGCTCTCTGGCGTGCTGCCAGGCAAGAGGTGCATGATATGACGTGGCATTACTCGGACACGAATCGTGGTCATCGTTGTCGTCGTCGTCGTCGTCGTCGTGTTCGTGTTTGTGTTCGTGTTCGTGTTCGTCGTCATCATCGTCGTCATCAATCGTCGTCGTTACCACGTTCGTCGGTCGTCGTCGTAATTATCCCGCTTGTCGATCGTTGGTCGCCCGTTGTCGTCGTCACCGTCCATTCCCGATGACATCAGGAGCGCCCCGGATCGGCGGCACTGGCCGGAGGCCACTAGAATACGCAATGCCCAGAGAAGGGTATGGGTAATACGCGCTTTCGCCGAGATCCTTGAATCCAGCATCGGACACACCGGCCCAAATCAAGTTCAGTAAAAAGCAGAGCACACCGGAGGTGAAGAAGAGGCCACAAATTATGCCCCCCATCTGCTTTTGCGAAGCCATGCAGGCGAGGAAGCAGCCCACAGTGACGAGCATGATCGAAACGAAAGTGATGCCCATGGTCGCGAACGACAACGTCCTGACGCTGCGGTACACACGGCACCGCTCGGAAATGTGGTGAAACCAGCCTCCGCTGCACTTGTCATCTCCCTCGCCACAATCGTTGGACAGCGAGGAGGCTGTCGCACTGGCCCAGCCGGTGATGTAGCTGTGGGTCTGGAAGTCGCAGGCGCTCTGCGCTAGGGACATCCAAGAGTGCGTCACCGTGCCCTTCACGAAGATGACGCCGTACTCCCTGGTCTCGAAAGTTAAGCCGTCAAGCCATTGCCATGTGTTGGCTATGTGCTGGGCGCCAACATCATCAACCCGCCATCGGGGGGTGAACAGGCTGATCACCAGCAGAAAGCAGGCAACGCCGCAATGGCCGATGGCGTAGTGCATAGCCTTCTGGTTCTGGAGGAAGTTCTTGGCATCCCTGGCCGCGGCCTTGAAGTTCCCCATGGCTGGGATGCGCCCGCAGCTGTGCCCGGTGCGGACCACCCCTTGGGTAATGACAGCTTGAGCCCAAATGGCTACGGCGGAGGATGATGAGGAGGAGGATGAGAACGAGAAAGAGGGTAAGAGCAGGGGACGAGGCAAACAAACATGGCCAAACTTTCAAAGCGGGAGGCTTGCAAAGCAGATTCAAGCTCCAACCGTCGAATCCAGACACGGAGGTGCCCAAGCGGGCGCTGTGAAACACCGCCTGCAAAGTGGGGAGCAACATCGACTTCTGTTTCTTTCTGCTGCTGCTGCTGCTCATGCTTCTCTCCCTCCACCCTCCCACCCATTATATGTGTATGTATATACATGTATATATAATTCCTCCTTCAGCTCCTCCTCCTCCTCCTCGCCATACTAGCTTCACTTTTAATATTTTCCTCCTCCTCCTCCTTCCGCCCTCCTCCTCATCAAATAATTTTCTTCCTCCTCTTCTTCTCTCTTTTTCACTCCTCCTCCTCCTTCTCCTTATCTTCCCTTCTCCTCCTGATCTTCCTCATCCTCCTCTCTTCTCCTCCACTACTGCTCCTCCTCCTCCTCCTCCTCCTCCTCCTCCTCCTCCTCCTCCTCCTCCTCCTCCTCCTCCTCCTCCTCCTCCCCCTGCGACGACGACAAGCGATCGCGGCGACGATGCTGCGAGGGCGATGGCGACGATCGTCGAACCAACGATCGACGACGACGACGACGACGACGACGATCACGGCGCTGACGGACAACCACGGGACCTCGCCATCGCTCGGACATCCATTTCCTGTGCATTTTTCGGTTTCGTCCAGGTACTTTTTCGCAGGATGGTCCAAGATGCTCTTCGAAAGTCCTCGCCGAAAAACATGCACACGTCCGAGCGATGCCAAGGGACGGACGCCGGCGACGACAGCCGACGGCGGACGACGCTCGACGACGACCGACCCACCGATCGACCGACGACGTCGACCACGTTGACGACGGCGATGACGACCGTCGAGGACGAGGCGCAGCAGAGACCGCTCCCGTGCGCGGGCCTTCAGGCCGCCGCCCCCGCCGGGCTCGGAGTAGAGGCTGCCCTCGTAAGCGTACCTCTCTCGCCACGGAGGGGAGGGGGGGCCCTGAGATCCTGGCGCTGCGCCATTTTTCACAACGGGCGTTTTTTCGCTCCACTTCGGGCCCTGGGACCCTCACAGGTCGATCTGGCTTGAAAAACCTCCTCCTCCTCCTCCTCCTCCTCCTCCTCCTCCTCCTCCTTCCTCCCCCCCTCCTCCTCCGCCTTTCCTTCCTTCCTTCCTCCCCCTCCTCCTCTTCCTCCTCCTCCTCCCCGAGTAGGAGGCAGGAAGATGGGGTCCGGGGCTCCGGTGGTGGAGCTCTTGCGCTGCTGCAGTTTTTTTTGCCACGCCGGATCTCAGGGCGCCCGGAGGGAGAGGAGCCCTCGTTGGAGCCGGGTGGGTTCGGTCCCGATTGCTTGGTAGTTACTCAGAGGAGGAGGAGGAGGAGGAGGAGGAGGAGGAGGAGGAGGAGGAGGAGGAGGAGGAGGAGGAGAGGAGGAGGAGGAGGAGGGAGAGGAGGAGGAGGAGGAGGAGGAGGAGGGGCTGAGGTGGCCCAGCACTGCTTCCGGCCAGGAGCAGAGAAAGGGGCAGAGAGCGGCCCCCTCGCTGCAGCGGCCAGGGGGCCGTCCGTCTCGGGCCCTGGGAGTGGTCGACCGGGACCGATTTGGAGTGGCTTTGCCCTCGTCCCCACCTCGTAGCAGGGCTCATCCGGCACCGACCGCCCCGCCGCTTCCAAGGTCCTCCTCCTCCTCCTCCTCTTCTTCTCCTCCTCCTCCTCCTCCTCAGGATCCTCCTCCTCCTCCTCCTCCTCCTCCTCCTCCTCCTCCTCCTCCTCCTCCTCCTCCTCCTCCTCCTCCTCCTACTCCTCGTCGTTTCTTGGGGCCCTCTGCGGGCCCCAGGTCCGTCACAAGTCCTTCTGGCGGAGGGCCCCGGCGCGTGCAGCTGCGAGTGGCGCAAAGACAGGCGAGAAAGAGGAGAGGGTGGGGGCAGGGCGACTGGAACGTGGATGGGAGGGACGGGGGGTGCGCAGGAAGCTGCCCGAGACGGCGTGCGACTGCTGTCGCTGGGGCTTTCGATGGAGCGAGCTCCCTGTGGGGCCGCGGAGCGTGTGAGGTGTGTGTGTGTGTGTGCCGAAAGGAGCGGTGGGGGGACGCTGTGCGAACCCTGCTGGTGGGGCCTTCGGCGGAGTTCCCTGTGGGGTCACGAAGCTTGTGAGGAGCGTGCTGATATGGACTAACGATGAGACAGACGAGAGGGGGAAGACGGGAAAGGACAAGCTAGGTGCACTCGCGTCACGTCTGACGTTCTACCCCTCTTTCCGATCCCTTACCATGGCGTAGATCTACTCTATATTCGCGCAGTCGGATGTCCAGCAAGGCAATGATCGCGAGAGGATACGCGATGCATGCTAGAGTACGGCATGGCACGGCGAAGACGAGCACGGCAAAGCGTAGCATACCATACCGTGGCGTGGCATTGCGCAGTGAAGCATTGCATCACAAAAGATTGCAACGCAAAGCATGGCATCGCACAGTGGCGCAAAAAACAACACCGCACAGCATGTCATGGCATGGCGCCAGGTTCTTTGGAGGGTGACTGGATCGTCTTCGAGAGGTCTGGGCCGGTCTGGAGTCGTGGCTCCATGTCTGGCTCCTCGGGCTCCCCGAAAAGCTCCACACAAGGCGGGGCTGATGGAGAGCACCCGTTGGCTCTGCGTTGCCTTCTCAAAACAAAAACGGGGCTCCCGCTTGTTACTTGCTGAAGCCTGAAAACAAAGACGCCCCCAAGGGGGGGTGGGGCTTCCGCGGCAGAAACAATCAACGAATCAGCACCGAATCTGTAATCACCTCCGATGTTTTTCCCGACCATCTTGTGGTGTTGGGTCTTCGTTTTGAAGAGACAGCGCCCCGCGTCACTCCTCCTCCTCCCGGTGCACCCTCCCCCTCACCCCTCCTCCCACCGACGGCATCATCATCATCGTCACCATCAACATCATCCCGCCCATGTCGGCACACCCCTCACACGGTTCGTGGCCCATAGGGATCTCCACCGAAGGCTCCAATGGCAGGGTCCGCGTGCGTCAACGCCGCCCAAGGCAGCGCTTCGTGGCCCCATGAGGAGCTCCACCGAAGGCTCCAGTGGCAGGGTCCTCATGCGTCAACGCCACCCAGGACAGCGCTTCGTGTCCCCACAGGGAGCTCCACCGAAGGCTCCAGTGGCAGGGTCCGCATGCGTCAACGCCGCCCAGGACAGCGCTTCGTGGCCACATAAGGAGCTCCACCGAAACCTCCAGTGGCAGGGTCCGCATGCGTCAACGCCACCCAGGACAGCGTTTCGCGGCCCCATAGCGAGTTCCACCGAAGGCTCCAGTGGCAGGGTCCGCGTGCGTCAACGTCACCCAGGACAGCCTTTCGTGGCCCCATAGGGAACTCCACCGAAGGCTCTAGTGGCAAGGTCCGCATGCGTCTCCCCCACCCAAGACAGCGCTTCGTGGCCCCATAGGGAGCTCCGCGTCAGTGCCACCCAGGACAGCCTTTCGTGGACCCATAGGGAGCTCCACCGAAGGCTCCAGTGGCAAGGTCCGCACGCGTCAACGCCATCCAGGACAGCGATTCGTGGCCCCATCGGGAGCTCCACCGAAGGCTCCAGTGGCAGGGTTCGCATGCGTCTCCCCCACACTGAACAAGGTTTCGTGTCCCCATCGGGAGCTCCACCGAAAGCTCCAGTGGCAGGGTCCGCATGCGTACACGCCACCCAGTGGCAGCGTCCGCATGCGTCAAAGCCACACAGGACAGCCTTTCATGGCCCCATAGGGAACTCCACCGAAGGCTCTAGTGGCAGGGTCCGCATGCGTCTCCCCCACCCAACACAGCGTTTCGTGGCCCCACAGGGAGCTCCACCGAAGGTCCCAATGGCGCAGTTCGCATGCAGCGCTTCGTGGCCCCATAGGGAGCTCCACCAGAAGGCGGCAGTGGCGCAGCCCGCATGCGTCAACGCCACTCATGTAGGCACACCCCTCACACGGCTCGTGGCCCACAAGGAGCTCCACGGGAAGCCCCAATGGCAGGGTCCGCATGCGTCAGCGCCACCCAGGACAGCGCTTCGTGGCCCCATCGGCAGCTCCACCGAAGGCTCCACTGGCGAACCCGCATGCGTCAATGCCACACAGGACAGCGCTTCGTGGCCCCATAGGGAGCTCCACCGAAGGCTCCAGTGGCAGGGTCCGCATGCGTCAACGCCGCCCAGGACAGCGTTTCGTGGCCCCATAGGGAGCTCCACCGAAACCTCCAATTGCAGGGTCCGCATGCGTCTCCCCCACCCAAGGCAGCGTTTCGTGTCCCCATCGGGAGCTCCAGCGAAGGCCCCAGTGGCACCGTTCGCATGCGCATGCCCCACCCAGGACAGCCTTTCGTGGCCCCATAGGGAGCTCCACCTAAGGCCCCAGTGGCGGTGTGCACATGCGTCTCCCCTACCCAGCCCAGCGTCTCGTGGCCCCAAAGGAGCTCCACCGAGGGCCCCAATGGCACCGTTCTCATGCGTCTCCCCCACCTAGGACAGCGTTTCGTGGCCCCACAGGGAGCCCCACCGAAGGCCCCAGTGGCACCGTTCGCATGCGTCTCCCCCGCCCATGACAATTTTTCGTGGCCCCATCGGGAGCTCCACCGAAGGCTCCAGTAGCGCAGTTCGCATGCGTCTCCCCCACCCATAACAATGTTTCGTGACCCCATGCAGTGGCGCAGTTCGCATGCGTCTCCCCCACCCAAGGCAACGTTTCGTGGCCCCATAAGGAGCGTCCCAATGGCGCAGTTCGCATGCGTTTCCCCTAACCAGGACGACGTTTCGTGGCCCCACAAGGAGCTCCACCAAAGGCCCCAGCGGCGGTGTCCACATGCGTCCGCGCCACCGATTTCGGCGCACCCTTCGAACGTTTCGTGGCCCCATAGGGAGCTCCACCGAAAGCGGTACCCACAATGCGGCACTCGCAGCTGCAAATGGTTGGGTCCTTCGTCAGGCTAATTATTTCGGGGGGCAGTTTTAACATTTTGGGGTAAATGTGGAAAGAAGGCCAATGCTGCAGCGGGAGCACGATTCGGAACGAGCGGAAGCGCGGAAATGAGGCCAGCGCTGCAACGAGAGCACGACTCGGAACGGGCGGAAGCCCGAAATTGAGGCCAACGCTTCAGCGGGAGCAACCAAATCCAAGCGAAAACCGGTTTCCCGGGAATCCGGTGTAAAAAAACACTGCGCGGAGGGGGGCCGGATATCTTCCGGACGTGATCAGGGGAGAGAGGAAAGTCGGAGGTTGGGGGGTGAGATCGCAGTGGAAAGGAGACCCCCAACCAGGAAATCGTTTCGTTTCGTTCGTGTCGCGAGTGCGGGCGAAACGAAGCTGCGTCGGCGCGCGAGAGGAATGAACCCGCCGTTGCTAGAACGAAATCAAAACAAGTGTTGCTCTTCCGCCTTCCGTCCGTCCGCCTTCCGTGCGGCGGTGGCACGCGGTGTCACGTGGTGTCCCGTGGTGTCCCGTGGTGCGTGCGGGCGAGGCGAAGCTGCGTGGGCGCGCGAGAGGAATGAACCCGCCGTTGCTAGGGCGAAATCAAAACAAATGTTGCTCCTCCGCCTTCCGTCCGTCCGCCTTCCGTCCGGCGGTGGCCCGCGGTTTCCCGTAGTGTCCCGCGGTGTCCCGTGGTGTCCCGTTGAATGAGATCGATAGTGAGATCAATAGTGAAGTGAGATCGATCGTGAGATCGATGTGGTGTCCCGAGGTGTCCCGTGGTGTCCTATGGTGTCCCGTTGAGTGAGATCGATAGTGAGACCGGTAGCTAGATCGAGAGGTGTCCCGCGGTGTCCCGGGGTGTCTTTGAGTGAGATCGATAATGAGATCGATAGTGAGATCGACAAGTGTTCCCGTGGTTAGTGAGTCGATTGAATCAGATGTTGGTTCCCCCCCCTCTCCCCCTCCCATCACCTCCTGATCACCCGAAGGGTGGTCGTACCTATACGACCACCCTTCGGGTGATAAGGAGGTTCGGGGGGGGAGGAACCAACGTCTCACTCGATCGGTCTCACTATCGATCTCACTATCGATCACACGATCGGTCTCGCTCGATCGATCTTACCCGATCGATCTCACAATCGATCTCACTCGATCTATTTCATTCGAACGATCTCACAATCGATCTCACTATCGATCTCACAATCGATATCACTATCGATCACACTATCGGTCACACAATCGATCTCACATTCGGTCTCACTATCGATCTCACGATCGATCTGACTATCGATCTCACAATCAACGTCATCATCATCACCAGCATCATCGTCATCAACGTCATCAACATCATCATTATCATGATCATGACACCAGCATCATTATCACCTCACCACCATCATCATCAACATCATCATCACCACCATCATCATCATCGGGGCACCATCATCGTCACCATCTGCATCATAACATCATCATCACCATCGGGACAAAACCATCATCATCATCGGAACACCACCACCATCACCATCATGAACAACATCATCACCATCATCACCATCACCATCAACATCGGGACACCATCATCATCATCAGCAACATCATCATCATCAACATCATCACCATCGGGGCACCAGCATCATCGTCACCATCATCATCATCACCATCATCATCGGGACACCATCATCACCACCAACATCAGCATCATCATCACCATCATCGGGCCACCATGATCAAACTCATCATCATCATCATCACCTCATCATCATCCTCATCATCAGCACCATCATCATCATCATTATCATCAAGACACCATCGTCGTCATCATCATCGTCACCATCGCCATCATCACTGGGACACCATCATCATCATCATCATCATCACCATCATCACCATCATCAACATCATCATCAGCCTCATCATCATCATCGGGCCACCATCATCATCATCATCTTCATCATCCTCATCATCATATCATCATCCCATCATCATCAACATCATCAGGATCATCAGCATCATCAGGATCATCAACATCATCGGGACACCATCATCATAAGCACCATCATCAGCATCATCAACATCATCATCATCATCGCGGAACCATCATCATCACCACCATCACCATCACCATCACCATGATCATCAGCATCATCATCATCTCTAACATCGTAATCATCACCTTCATCATCATCATCAACATCATCGGGACACCATCATCACCACCATCACCATCACCATCACCATCACCATCACCATCACCATCACCATCACCATCACCATCATCATCATCATCATCATCATCATCATCATCATCATCATCATCATCGACATCATCGACATCATCATCGACATCATCATCATCATCATCATCATCATCATCATCATCATCATGATCATGATCATGATCATGATCATCGTCATAATCATCATCATCATCATCATCATCATCATCATCGGGACACCGACGGGACACCGGCGGGACACCGGCGGGACACCGCGGGCCACCGGCCCCCGGAAAGGAATCATTTGGTCCGGCCGCGCCTCAGCCGGAGGCGGGACACCGGCGGGACACCGCGGGCCACCGGCCCCCGGAAAATAATCGGGTCCGGCCGCGCCTCAGCCGGAGGAGACTTTCTTCTCGCCCGCCCACGCAGCTTCGCCTCGCCCGCACGCACGGCACGCACGAACACGAAACCGAAACCGATTTCCCGGTAGGGGGGCTCTCCGTTCCATTTCGATCTTACCCCTCACCTCCGATAAGTAGTATTCATATAATGTAATTGTGGAGAGGGAAGTAGGAGGGGGAAGGGGGAGGGGGAAGGAGGATGAGAAGGGGGAGGGGGAATGAGGGAGGGGAATGGGGGAGGGGGAAGGGGGAAGGAGGAGGAGGAGGAGAACGAGGGGGGGGAAGGAGGAGGGAGAGGGGGCAACGGGAGGAGGTGTGCACGCGGAGCGCTGCAGAGACTCAAGACCGGGACCCCACACCACGAGGTGGCCGCGGAAGCTGGCGCACGGCTGGGAGCTGATCCTCTGGGGAGAGCCCCAGCGTCGCAAACCCCTGCCTCGGGTGTTGCCAGAAGTGCCCCTGGCCCAAGGTGCCCACAGCTTTACGCTCCGCTTTGGAGGCCCTGGGGCCCTCTGGGCCTCGTGGGGGGTGCTCTGAAGGCGGTGGGTGCCTCCATGGAAATCCTGGGGCACCCTGGGCGATGCGATGCGATGCGATGCGATGCGACCCGCATTCCAGCCCCTATGGGGCGGTCCTCTCAGAGGGCAGGCGTATGGGACACGCAGTCCCGGTGACCGGGTGCACTGGAAAATGCTTCGCGCCAACGTGGAAAACAAGACAAAGAGAACTGCGTTCAGACAGGCATGACATAAACTTCGGAGAGGACTGCGTTCAGACGGGCACCTTGGGCCAGGGGCATTTCTAGCAACACCGGACTTCCCCTCAAGGCCCTTTCCATCGTGGCGACCCTCGTCGTCGGGGTCGTCGCCGTCGCCGTCAAGGTTCGAGGCTTCGAGGTTCGTGCGAGGGCCGTTCGAGATTTGGGAAGTCGATGATTGTTTTTTACGGGGGGGGGGGTATCATGTGGGACTCTGGCGACCTCTGGTTGCCTCCAGAAATCTCTCGAGGTCCCCGAAAGCCTGCGGACGTCTTCGGCAATCGTCACCGTCGTCGCGTCGCCGTCACTTGTCGCGGTCGTCGCTGTCGTGGTCGCTCGTCGCCGTCATCGTCGCAGTCGCCGTCGCCGTCCTCGTCGGTCGTCGTCGGTCGTCGTCGTCGCCGTCGCCGTCCTCGTCGGTCATCGTCGTCGTCGTCGTCGTCGTCGTCCTCGTCAGCGCTGTTGTCGTCATCGTCGCCGTCGACCAAGTCGTCGACCGTCGCCGTCGCCACAGCCGCCGCAGCCACCGCCGCCGCAGTCGTCGGGATGGTGGTGGTGATTGTTGTTTTCGTGGCTGTGGTGGCAGTGGTAAAAGTGGTGGTGATGGTGGTGATAGTCGTCGTCGTCGTCGTCGTCGTGGTCGTCGCCGTTATCATGGTCGTTGTCGTTATCGTGATTGTCGTCGTCGTCGTCGTCGTCGTCGACGTCGTCGTCGTCTTCGTCCGTAGTGGTCTCTAGCGCTGTCGCCATCTTCGTCGTCGTCCTCCTCCCCCTCCTGCTCCAGGCACTCCACATCCTCCTTCCCCTCCTCTTTCTCTCTTCTCTTCCTCCTCTCGATGATGAGGGGGAGATTGGGGAGGCGAAGGGGGAGTGCCGAAAGGGAGCAGGACGGGGAGGTGTACAAGGAGCGGGAGGCGGAGGAGGGCGGGAACGGGGAGGGGTGAGAGGAGGCAGGTGAGGAGGAGAAGGGCGACGAGGACGCTGGCACCATTCTCCTGCTGATGCTCCGATGTTCCATCGCTTCCTCCCCTGGATGAGTCAGAGGATCTTTGGAGGCCGCCCAGAAGCAGCTGGAGGTCTGGAGGTCCTCAGGAGCTCAGCCTCGATCCTCGTCCCCGTCTTGATGCTGCTGCTGCTGTTCCTCCTGCTCCTTCTCCTTCTCCTGCTCCTGCTCCTGCTCCTCGTCCTCCTCTTGCTCCTCCTTCTCCTCCCCTCGCAGGCGCACAAGTGCATGAACAGCGGCTGCTCCATCGAAGGCTTGCCCTCCTCGGGCGCACTCGCGCGCGGGAGGAGGACGGAGGCGGAGTGCGGATTAGGACGGGCATGGTGATGTAGTTCAGCTGCTGCTGATGATGATGGCGATGACGATGGTAATGCTGATGCTGCTGGTTGATGGTGTTGATGACGATGCGGATGACGCGGATGACTATGATGGTGATGGTGATGACGATACTGGTGATGCGAGGATGGTGATGGTGTAGTATGATGATGTTGCTGCTGATGATGACGGGTGATGATGATGATGATGGTGCTGATGATGGCGATGCTACTAATGATGATGATGATGATGATGGTGGTGGTGGTGATGCTGGTGATTTGGTGATGGTGATGATAATGACGATGACGATGGCGATGCTGACGGTGCAGCTGCTGTTGTGGTTGATGCTGGTGATGACTGTGGTATGTCTGAAACAATGTTAAAATTCTGGGGGGACGGTGAAACAAATATTCGCGGCGCTGTAGTGCGCATCTAGAACATAAAAGGAAGGCGGGGCAAACCAGACGCTGGGGGCGTCCCCGCGACCGCCCTGGCACTTCGCGTCCAGTAGCAGATTCCTGCATTGGGTTCGCGCGGGGGGGCAGATCTTCAGAGACCCCCTGCGTCAACGACGATCGGCGCCGACACTCGGCGCGCCAACGACGATCGTCGCCGACGCTTGGCACCGACGCTCGGCACCGACACTCGGCGCGCGCACTCACCACGAGTGCACTCTCAGCCACATCGCCTCACCAGAGTGCACTCTGGGCATCCAAAGAGGGATGCCCAGAGTGCAGTGACCCGCGCATGGCGACTTTCCCATCGCGAACAAGACTAACACCGCCACGCGCGCACGTCGGCACTGCGCAGGCTGCACCGACAGGCGAAACCGTAAAGACCGCATTCCAATTTGGAAACCCAATCGGCAACCGTTAGAAAAGGTTCGCTTCAGTTCGCAGGCCAGCACGGCGACATTCCTATTGCGGACAAAACAAAAACCGCCACGCGAACGCGCGCGTCGGCGCAATGTAGGCTGCACCAGTGGACGAAAACGTAAAACACCGCATGTTAAATGGAAAAGCTCACTGGCGACCGCTAAGGGTTCACTTCTAGTTCCCAGACCAGCATGGCGATTTTCCTATTGCGGGCAGCGCAGAACCCGCCACGCGCGCCCTCGCGCGTCGGCGCACTGTAGGCTGCACTAACCTACGAAAAGTAAAGACCGCGCCTTAAGTTTGGAACTCCAATCAGCAAGCTCTGAGGTTCCACTTTCGTTCCCAGGCCAGCATGGCGACTTTCCGATGGCTGACAGTGCAGAAACCGCCACGCGCGCGTCGGCGCATTGTAGGCTGCACCAGTATACGAAAGCGTAAAGGCCGCATGTGAAGTTGGAAATCCGATCGGCAAGCGCCAACGGTTCATTTTCGCTCCAAGGCCAGCAATGCGATTTTCCTATGGCGGACATAACATAAACCGCGACGCGAACGTGAGCGCTGGCGCATTGTAGGCTGCACCAATGGACGAACACAAAACGGAAAAACGCATGTTAAGTAGGAAATCCACTCGGCAACGGCTGCGGGTTCACGCCGCGCGCGCGCGGGCGCGTCGGCGCATTGTTGGCCGCGCCGATAAGCGAAAACGTAAAGACCGTATGTTACGTTGGAACACACATCGGCAAGGGCTAAGGGTTCGCGAAAGAGTTCGCAGGCCAGCATGGCGACTTTCCGGTTGAAGGCCGGCGCGCGCGCGGCGGCCCGCGCGCATCTTGTATAAAAACTTCACGCGCGAGGCGCGAGAGCCGCCGCGCGCGCCGCGGCCCACGCGCATCTTGCGCGAGAAAACACAACGCGCGAGGGGCCACGGGCCGCCGCGCGCGCGGCGGCCACGGAAAAAAAAAGACACAACGCGCGAGGCGCCAAGGGCCGCCGCGTGCGCGATGGCCCACGCGAATATTGCATGACAAACGCAATGCGCGAGGGGCCAAAGGCAGCCGCGCGCATCTGGTATGGAAAGACGAAATGGGCGAGGGGCCCGGGCCACCGCGCGACGCGCGCGATAGCGCGCAATGTGCGAGGGGCCAGGGCCGCCGCGCGAGAGATGGCCCACGCGCACCTTGCACGGACAAAACACACACACACACACACACACACACACACACACACACACAACACACACACACACACACACACACACACACACACACACACACACACACACACACACACAACACACACACACACACACACACACACACACACACACACACACACACACACACACACACACACACACACACACACACACACACACACACACACACACACACACACACACACACACACACACACACACACACACACACACACACACACACACACACACACACACACACACACACACACACACACACACACACACACACACACACGCACGAGTGTGCCATGGGCCGCCGCGCGCGCGGCGGCCCGCGCGAATCTTGCACCGAAGCGCACAGTGCGCGAGGGGCCAGGGCCGCCGCGCGCGCGGCGGCCCACGCGCACCTTGCATTGAAAACCAATGCGCGAGGGGCCAAGGCCGCCGCGTGTGCGGCTTCCCACGCGCATGTTATATGTAAAAACGCCATGCGCGAAAGCTAATGGGCTGCCGCGCGCGCAGCGGCCCCCGCGCATCTTGAATGGAAGCACGCAGCGCGCCAATGGCAATGGGCTGCCGCGCAAGCGCTGCGGCCCACGCGCACCTTGCACGGAAAAACCGGAAAAACGCAACGCGCGTGGGGCACAGGGCCGCCGCGCGCGCGGCGGCCCACGCGCATCTTGCATGGGGAAAAAAACCATGCGCGAGGGGCCATGGGCCGCCGCGCTCGCGGCGGCCCCCGCGCATCTTGTATAGAAAACCATTATGCAAGAGGGGCCAGGGCCGCCGCGCGCGCGGCGGCCCACGCGTGTCAAAGTATGGAAAACCACAGCGCGCGTGGGGCCATGGGCCGCCGCGCGCGCGGCGGCCCACCCGCACCTTGTACGGAACCGAACGCAACGCGTGAGCGGCAATGGTCTGCCGCGCGCGCGCGGGGCGGCCCGCGCGCGTCTTGCGCGGGAAAAAAAACAATGCGCGAGGGGCCAGGGCCGCCGCGGGCGCGGCGGCCCACGCGCATCGTATATGCAAAAACGCCATGGTCGATGGCGCATCCTGTATGGAAGAACACAATGCGCGATAGGCTATGGGCCGCCTCGCGCGCGGCGTCCCACGCGCAGCCTGTAGGTAAAAACACAATGCGGGAGCGGCCAGGGCCGCCGCGCAAGCGGCGGCCCCCGCACATCCTTTGGAACAAACGCAATCCGCGAGGAGCCATGGGCCGCCGCGCGCGCGGCGGCCTACGCGCATCTTGTATGGGACAACGCAACACAACGCGCGAGGGGCAATGGGCGGCCGCGCGCGCGGCGGCCCCCGCGCATCTGGAATGGAAAAACTCAGTGCGCGAGTGACCAGGGCAGCCACGCGTACGGCGGCCCACGCGCACCTTGTACGGAAGTGCACACTGCGCGAGGGGCCATGGGCCGCCGCGCAAACGATGGCCCACGCGCGCATTAGATGGAAAGAGACCATGCGCGAGGGGCACAGGGCCGCCACGCGCGCGGCGGCCGCATCCTGTATGGAAAAACACACCGCGCGAGGGACCAGGGTCGCCGCGCGCGCGGCGGCCCACGCGCACCTTGTATGGAAAAACACCATGCGCGAGGGGCCAGGGGCCGCCGCGCGCGCGGCGGCCCTGGCACACTGCGTTGGAAAACGTGACATTGCGCGAGGGGCAAGGCCGCCGCGCACGCGGCCGCCATGGCCCATGCTATGCGGGAAACGTGCGCACGTACATTGTTCCAGCAGGACGAGAACTATTTATGCGTCGACCGGAGCAGCCGATACATCTGCGTTCAAATGCTCCCAAGGCGCGCGCGTGCGCGTATATGTTTACAATGCACACATATGTTCGCTCTCTGTCGAATATTTTCCAGCGGGCAGCTCAACAACTAATTCTCCGCCCGCGTATTAATGACACTCGGAATCCAGGAGGGGGGGAGGGGGGTCATCATTTTGTAACATTGTTTGGACATTAGTGGTGGCGACGATGACGTTGATCATGATGATGATGAAGATGATGATGCTGATGGTGATGACGGTCATGATCCTGATAAAAATGATGATGGTGAGTACGGAGATGAGCATGTTCATGATCATCATGGTGGCGACAACGAGGCTCATGATGCCGATGACGATGACGACGGCGATGATAGTGGTGATGATGATGATGCCGATGGCCATAATAATGGTAATGCTAATGCTGCTGCTGATGGTGATGGCGATGATGAGATGTGATGGTGCCAGTGACGATGAAAGGTCGACACGTGGATGATGCAGAGGGGAATGAGGGGGGCGAGTGTAGAGGAGTGGGGGCCTCCAGGAGGAGAGCGATGATGATGATGATGAGGAGGAGGAGGAGGAGGAGGAGGAGGAAGCGGAGGAGGACGAGGAGGAGGAGGAGGAGGGGGATGGGGAGGTGGATCGAATAAGTCAGGGGCGCAGGCGGCCCACAGATCTCGCGGCTCAATTTTGCCGCGCGGGCCGACCCGGTGCCAGAATGAAAACGGTCAAGCCAGTTGACCTTTAACGGGGCCGGTGTGTGTGTGTGTGTTCGGACATCTCCCAATCCAGGGTGCCCGTCAGGAGGTGCCCCAAGCCCCTTTCGCATTGCTGGCGTCTCGGCACCAGCCCCTCGCATTCGCAATACCCGCGCTGTGATTGAGACAAGGGCCGCCTCCCCACGCAGGAGCGGGTCGTCCGCGGATGCGCTGCATCGCAAGCCTGCCGTGCGCGCCTGCGCCATTCTCTTACGAGCTGACCGCGCCGCTGTAGCCGCTGCTGCTGCTGCCTGCTTTCTCGCACAAGCCCGTGTCCGTGTAGTAACAGAGTGCCCGCTGCCACTGCGTGCTTTCTGTCTTGT